GGAGAGAGGATTGGTTGGGTTGATCCAGAGATCAGATTACAATTTGTTTCTTTCGTTCCACTTCAGTTTCAATGAAATTAATATTATCTCCTTATTTTACAGTGTTCACTAGATAACACACAGAATGTTTACTGTTAAGTAAAACCAGCAAAAAAGGTGCAAACCATCTCAATTATCTTCATACAACAAACGCAGGTTTAATTAAGATTTAAAACATCAAGTGAATTGTTCAATAATTGTATCTACTATTCTGCCTAACATGCCCCTAATGCACAGCTACTTTGGGCTCCAGATTGGGAGCAGTAAGCCTGAAATATCCCTTTGACTCCACAAAGAAATAGCATTCAGTTGTTTCTCTGCAAACTTCAGTCTATCTGCATAGGCCACTGCCTCTGATCAGTCATGTAAATAGCTGAATACTAGGATGGAGTGTGTGAGAGGTGCTTTCTCTCTCTCTCCCCCATTCCTGATGGAGCATTGCTTTAATTTTCCTTTAACAACCATGGAAATATTTAACTATAAAAATTCGTTATAGCTGTACTTCCATTATTAATTTTACTCTTAACTCCCTGCTCACCAGACTTCCCAACTCTTCCCTCTACAAGCTGCAGATTATTCAGAACTCTGCAGCTCTCCCACGTCCCACGTACCATGCTCCATGAACCGATCAGCCCATCCTCACCCAGCTCCACTGGCTTCCGATCCCTCAGAGGATCAACTTTAAAATCCTCATCCTCATTTTTAAAGCCCTTCATTGTCATGTTCCTTCCTATTAGGGGAGTGGTTTAGGTCGTACCTCTCCCACCGTCTTCACTTTGTCTCCACGAATGTTTTTTCCTCCGGCCCCCGCACTGTCTCGTGCGGTGTCCCTCAAGGCTCTGTCCTCGGTCCCCTCCTCTTCACCCTCTACATGCTCCCCCTTGGTGACATCATCCGCGGACATGGGGTTAACTTCCACATGTATGCGGATGACACCCAACTCTACCTTTCCTCCTCTACCCTCAACTTCACGACCACCGATGTCCTGACAGCCTGCCTGTCCGACATCGAGTCCTGGACGAGAGATAACTTTCTTCAGCTCAACGTGCGTAAAACTGAGGCCCTCCTGATTGGCTCACGTCAGCGCCTCCGCACCTTAGGCGCTGACAGCATCAGCATCCAAGGCTGCACTCTCCACCTCTCAAAGCCAGTCAGGAACCTCGGGCTTCTGTTCGACCCTGAGCTGTGCTTTCTCCCTCATACCCGCGCCACAACTGGCACTGCCTTCCATCAGCTCTGGAATATCGCCAGACTACGGCACTACCTCACCCCTCACGCTGCTGAAACTCTGGTCCACGCCTTTATCACCTCAAGGCTGGACTATGGGAACTCTCTCCTCGCCGGCCTTCCCGCCACCTCCCTCCACAAGCTGCAGGTCATTCAGAACTCTGCAGCTCGCGTACTGTCCCGCACCAGGCTTCGCGACCACATCACTCCCACCCTCGCTCGCTTCCACTGGCTCCCCATCCCCCAGAGGATCGATTTCAAGATCCTCATCCTCACCTACAAGGCCATTCACGGCCTTGCTCCCTCCTACCTCTCTGACCTTCTATCCCCCTACCTACCTGCCCGTACCCTCCGTTCCTTTGGCTCCAGTCTGCTGCACATCCCCCGCCCCAACCGCCCTACCATCGGTGGCCGGGCCTTCAGCCTCTCAGCCCCTAGGCTCTGGAAATCCATCCCCCAGTGCCTTCGCCGCCTCCTTCCTTTCCTCCTTCAAGGCCGGTCTCAAGACCTTTCTCTTTGACCGTGCCTTCAGCTCCCCTCTCGACTATCTACCCCCTCCTCGCTCCCTCCCTTCTCTCCCCTCATCCTGACCATTTCCCCCCTGCTCGGGTCCTGACCCAACTGTGCAGCGCCTTGGGACATTCTCCCGATGTGAAAGGCGCTCTATAAATGGAATCTTATTGTTGTTGTATTAACACTATACCAACCTGTCCGCTCCCTCTGCTCGGCGGGACCTGGACAGTTCCATATCCCCCGCTCTGCCCGCCCCACCTTCAGAGGTCAGGCCTTCAGTTTTTCTGGCCCCATCCTTTCGAACCATCCAGAATCTCTCTGACTTGCCTCCTCCCTTACCCCCTTCGAGACCTATCTCAAGACCTTCCTCTTTGACCATGCTTTCAGCCAGTCTCCCACCCCCAGCCCTCCTCCACCCCTCGATTCCAACCCCTAACTCAGGCACAAACCCTTAACTGTTCAGTACCTTCCGCTGTATAAATGTAATTTGCTGTTGTTTAAATTTTAAACATAATGATCGTAAATTTTTATCTCAACACAAGGCCATTTGTAAAGATAGAAATCTTTTTTTGTCTGTAATTATGATGGGAATTCCTATTTCAAAGATGCCCCCAAAAGGATCAAACAGCTTAAAGAGAAATAATATTGAAGATAGGGAAAGAGAATGGGATTGGAGCAGTTTGCTGCAGCAGGGAAGCTGGCACTAGCAACAAAATACCCTTCTTCTGTGTTGTAAATAAACATTCTGCAATCGGCATAGTACTATTTTTAGTGATCACATAAATTAGACCTCAGTGGGTGAAGTACAACTGGAGCCTTATCTATTAATGTTTATTGTCAGTGGTGTTATGCTTCAGTTCAGTTCAGAATGTTAAAAAAAAGTATTCAGCCACACAGTTTATAATTAATAAATACATGGAAAGTGATAAGCCTGAAATCTCCTGTGAGCTATCGTAGCCCTAAAGGTCAGAAGCTCTTTCAAGTTTCCTTTCAATTACAGCAGGTACAGAGCATGTTCCTTTGCCATGGTAACAGAGCTCATGAATCGCTGTTACTTTCTTCATTTAAACAACCTATTTGGGGGGATTATTCTCAGACATTTGGGCTAAAAGAAGAGAGATGTATGATACCTAAAGATTGCAAATGAAAAGCTTTAATGCTTTATTCTGAAATAATGAGTGGATCGAATTCTCAAACTTTGGGAAGCAGATTTACTTGCATCAAGATAAGGACAGACACCAGGAAATATGTCTTTTCAAAGAAGACAATTACCAGATGAAAAGGGTTACTGGAAAGAACAGTTGAGACCACAACATTGGATTTATTTAAGAAACAGTTTAAGGTTGTAGTGGGAAGAAGGTATTCTGGAAGCGTGAGATCAACTAGGCCATGAGACTTTCTTTATCTGCACCTTGTGATTTGTTACACGTTACAAAATACTCTAAAATGTATAATTAATTTAACAATTCTAAGAACTATATGAGACAGGTAGGTGGACTTTAATCATGTCATGGGACAAAAGCAGAGATATTGGATGGTACATAAATTGAGGATTAGCACCAGAAAGACCAAGAGGAAGGTTAGAAGATTTTATTTTATTTGGAGTTTTGTTACTATGTAGAATGACTCTCAAAACTAAGCCCAGTACAGCATTGGGAGTTGCATGAATGCTATGGAAAATAACAAGGGTAAAGAGGCAAAGGAAAAAAGGGGAAAAAACAAAGGAATAGGAATAAAACAATTCTTAATAATCCTTCATTTGATATAGGACCTTTCACAACTATGTATTTTGTAGACGAGTGTGGCAATCAGTTTACACACGCCCTTCATACAGGGTAGCATCCCGGAGCGCTGCACAATGTCCTTCAAACAGCCATGAAGTGAATCATCAATTTTATTTGGGGGTTTGTAGCCCAGGACACCAATGCCAGTGAGGGAAACCTCGTATGAGCTGTAAACAATCTATGATTCTATGGAAATTTAGTCATCAGCTATTATTCTCTGTTTCATCTCTTGAAGCCTCTAGAGAATATACAGCTGGTTCTTTGTCATCAACTGAATACAACCCCTGCTCCACCATTTTCCTAACTGTGTCATCATCCAGAGGGAGAAGAGAGACCCTGTTGACTGGACTATTTTGGAGCATCCAGCACACAATTATGATTTGTGCTACCTTTAGGAGAGGTTGTACTTGAATCTTTCTCCTGAACAATCCAGCAAAGAGCAATTAATGAATGTCCAAGCAGGAAAAGGGTCCTATGAATATGGCTACTTTACCCACTTGATGTGGTTTACGTTGTGCATTTAATGTTTGTAATTCAAAATAGAGACAAAGATGCAAATATGCAAAATATCCATCTTACATGTTTGAATGATTGAACAATCCTTCAAGATTGTTATATTTATACATTTGGAATAGACTTATTTTGCTATTAATATTGATTGCAATGTACTGAAAGATTGTTGGGTTAATAATGGTTTCTTGTTATCATAAAAAAACACATCTATTCCACTGCGTGCCTAATATCCATCTCGCTTATTCATAAACTGGGTGCAACAGCTTATGGTTTCATCAGATATCAAATATAATATGTAATCATGTAGAAAAATACTTAGCTGCTATTTTAGGAGCAAGTTATCAAGGATTATTATCAAATTCAACAAACTGTTATGTTAATATCAATAACCGTCATCGGCCACCTAACACATTTCCACAACTCAATCACGATCAGTGGCTTTATCCAAGAGTGCTGTTTACAGAAATATTACAGTAATATAAAATTCTGGATAGTTCAAACCTTTACAGTATCTAATGGCTTAGATTTGAATGATAAACACAGCCAGATTAATTTTAAAAACCAGTTACCTGCCTTTCTGAAGTAACTTTCACTTGCATTTTGTGACTAGAATGTCGCAGGTTTGATTTTGAGTCCTTACACAGAGGTGCTCATGAACTCTGCAGTTACTTCCTCGTTTATTAGTAAACCACTACCACTCATTATGTATATGCTTTGAAGAAATTCAGTTCTTAACCCTAAATATATCTACAGATAGAGACAAATGTTACTGCTTAGAATGAGAGTAAATGTTACTCCAGCTGAGCCCCTGAGGATGATGATTCGAGAGTCTGGCTGTGGTGCAATGTGTTCGTACTTTTTGATGTATGGTTGTGAACTGTTTCAGTATTTACTGTCCCCTTGATACATTTACAGGTTACTTACCTTGCCAAGAAGTCAGTGAATGATAGTCGTACAGGATAACCGTGGCGAAACATCCTCACCATCTCCAGAACACCAACATACTGCAGCTGAGCCGATACATAGAAGTTGTCAAAAGTCTCTGCTTGTTTGGAAGTGTTGGGTTTGATACAGTGTACAAAGTGAGGAGTGGCATTCTGGAGCTTTCCCATAAAATCACTAATGGAGCTCTACAGTGACAAGAGAAATCCAGTTAAGACTTGGCCTTTCTTCTATCTTTAGATTCTAAAAGTCTTTTATTTAAAAATACATACAACTCATTATCCATTTCTGCAAACGGGAATTTGAAAGTCCAGGAATACTATAGTATTTGACTTCCAGAAATAATTAGATTGTCCAACCAAATGGCACGTTCACAAATGAGGAATCGCATTACCCAAAATGAAAAATTCATAACAAAGAACTCGATTTCTTATTCAGTGATAACAAGCAATTATCTTATTCTATTCTTGGTTGCTTAATGTCAATTTGATGCAGTTAAGGAAAATCCCTTTGTGTTTCTGAAAATGATGCCTCATATATTTTACTTTAATTGGATGTTCTTCAACATATAACGTTTAGAACTCATGGGATAGAAAATGCAACCTTTTATAACAGATTCAATAATTATCGAAAGCGTTATGAAATCACTTATGATTTGTCACAACTGTTCATCTATTCCTACAAATGCACTCCTCCAGAGTCAGAATAATTGATTTCCATTTTTGCTTCCGAAGATGGGATTGTGCTACAAATAGGTAACTAATTTAAAATGAGCTCAGAGGGGAAGGGGGAAGAGTGGCTGGGGCAGTGGGAAAAGTCAGTTCTGCTACTAAGCAGCTACCAAGATAATGCCAAACACTTTTGCAAAACAGCCTTGAACCAAATCATTATGCTGAAATCGGGAGTGGGGGTGGTTGGGAAAATAATGTTTCATAAGACAGTCAATAACACATTCAATAATTAGCAAATCAGTAAATAAATTAGTCTGGCATACGCGGAATCAAATCACCATGCTTAAGAGTATCAAAAACAAACAGAATTCCATACATCAACAACAAAATTACATTTATACAGCGCCATTCATGTCAGAAGGATGTCCCAAGGCACTGGATAGTTAAGGGTTTGCACCCGAGCTAGGGGATGGAATCAAGAGGGCTGGAGGGTGGGGTTTTCCATGCATCCCAACTACACATGGAAATTCCAGAGATTATTTTATTGGAATGGAACTCTCTCCCTGGAGGGATGCATCCTGCTTACCTAATTCTGGATAGCATTAGGTTGGCAAGAACCAATACTTGAGGACCCCGGAATGTGTGTTGGGGTACTGCTAGAGTCTAACCAGCTAAAACTGCATAGCTTGCCATTGAGAGTATTTGTCTGGCAAGCTCTCTTGCAGCTTGTCCAATTAGGACCACCCTACCCATTAGAGCTTTGGCTTGCAAGGTTAATGGGAGCTGAGTGGGACTGTCATTAATTCATGCACACTGAGTCGCAATTAGGGAAACCAGATAATAAACATAGTATGCCTTGGTGATCAATGGGGACTATTCTATGACATGCCTGGAGGTTGCTCACAGAAATCCTGCGGGTTGGTGGAAATGCTTCCCTTTACAGACAAGATTTGTCACTGGAGACAATATCGTTAAGTCTTGTAAGAAACTGCCAGAATTAGACCCAAGTTTAATTCACTTTCATTTCACACAGTGACTTACCCTGAGCTGAGCAGCCAGTGTTACTGGCCCACCACGCTCCAGACGCTGGAGGAATGTTGTTACTCCCTTCTTTTTGAGAAACTTAGAGAGAAAAAAAATACAAATCAGCACAAGTTATTATCAACGTGAAAAACATTTGCTCTGAAGTGTTATTGCTATGAAGTGAAAAACGTGATATGTTATGTGATAATTATTACCATCGATAATCAGAACATCACAAAGTTGTGGCCAAACCATTTGATAATTTTTGATTGTTTCAAGGAAGTGAGCATCCTCTGACTTCAGCACAATGGTTTGGACTGAAGCCAGCTAACACGTTTAGTGTTGCTTCCTGGAATACTGGGTTTAGATTCAAAAGTCAGCATCTCAGTTAAATATAATTGTGAAACACGTTGAAAACAAACCTTATAACAATACAGATTTACATATACATAGCAACTTTGATGGTGGAAGGATGCCCTAAAGTGTTAATATTCAACTTATGCATACATTTAATATTCAGCTAATGATCAACATATTTTGTGAAGTCTACATATTTGGTTATGAGAGCTCAGTTGCCAATTTGCAATCAGGGAGGAGTTGGGGATTATTTTCTACCAAATGATGTCTAATTTACCTTGCTGTTGAGATCCAGAATTTTCTTTGGTCCTAATGCTCTTGAAGCAGAAGAGATGCTCTGAGACAGTAGCATTGCCTTGGAGCCTTTAAGGCTCAGACGATGATAAGGAGGAACAAGGGAACCCGTTTGGGTCAATTTTGCTTGAAAGAGCTGGTGCACAACAATGTTTTCACTGGCTGTCAATTCAAAAGAAAAATAAGTTTTGTTAACGATGTTTTTTTTTAAAGAAATCTCAAATTCCAAAGTTGTTTTAAAGGATGTTGAGATTTCAATGCTAAAATTGTCAAACATTTTGTATTGTAGACCAAAATCAAAGGGCATTTCTCCAAAGTAATTGGTGTAGTGCTAACAGTGTGCTCCAGCTGCCTACAAGGTAAACTGTTCCTAAACTTTCTCTGCCCAAGATAGTAAAACCCATTCTTTTTTCCCTTTTTCAAAAGTACTTAAAAAACACTGAAGCACAATTTTTACATTAGAAATTTGTACATTCATTATTAGAAACTGATATGGAAAGAAAAATAAGGTGGAATTGTGCTTTCCACTAAGTACAGCAAATTTGTTGATGTGCATTTATAGACTTTCCTCATGTAAGAGTGCATTACCTACAAAAACAATCAATATACTCGACAGTAATTAATGTAAAGTGCTTTGAGGTGGCCTATAAGGCACTCTAATAATGCAAGTACTTTCTATCACATTGCCAAAGTTGCTACTGGTTGTTTAACAGAAAGTCAAAATCAATACAGATTTACTATTTCCCATGGTCCCCACTTTTGTAAGGATGTAAATATTTACCTTTCATAACAAAAAGGAGGTTTTGAGAGAGTGAATCTTTGTTCTTTTCAATTGCTCCCATCAGATCATAGGTCACCTGTAGTGAGACCGAATATTAAACACAGTTTCAACATGTTGTCTTTATAGAAATGTATTTAAAACATAATTTTGTTCCTTCCTTTGAACTGAATTTGCCTTGACTGCTTAGCAAGTTCACTTGATTATGCTGTCTTGCACAATCAACTTGCCACACAGCTGTATTGTCGTGTGCATTTTGGGCTGAAGCTTCAACTGTGGGACAGACAACTACAAGAAAGCAGCTTTGATCACTTTCCAACAGTCACTACTTTTGCCGACATATTTCTGACCTTTCTTCCAGCTGGTTCACAACATTCTGCGAAAATCAACCTCCTTCATACTGAATTCTCCAATCAATTTCAAAATATTAAAGCACAGAAAATATAGCTTTTAATATAGTTGCATCTCTATTTACTGTGGAGGCTGACAATTTACTTTCAAATAGCAATTTTCTGCCTTCCACTTGTCAAAGTTTTTTGGAAAATATCCTGGACACATCTTTTGTAAACATGCCTGGTTCCAAATTGCACCCATTTGTATGAACAACTGTTCCCTGTTTATTCAGATTTTCAAATGGATGTTTTAAAACAAAATGATCCCAGAAGTGTATTCAAGGACTGAAATTCCATGGATTGCAAGACATGGACTTGCAAAATCCACAAGTGGCCAAGGAATATAAATATCCCCACGTATATCTATGAGAGAAGTCAAATTACATCCATTAGGTGACAATGGAATTTGAATGAGATGTCTCCAACACACAAATACAAATAGAATTGGGATACCAGACCAAGCATTAAACACATTTGGCAATGAAGAGATTTTTTAAAATTAAAAAAAATTATAGCAAGGTTATAATTCAACATTCTGTGAAATACATACAGTATACAGTGTATTAAGGGACTTTAAATAGATATTAAGGGACTTGAAATTATTCTCCACTTAAATCAAAACTTGTACATCAGAAAACCTTTTGAAGCCTGACAGATTCATCAATTAGTCTGGACCAGACAATACTGATTGTTTTGTCTGGAAAATCACTGGAAAGAGAAAAAAATTGAAAGCTTCCTCATTGATTAATGCATCTTCTTTGTCTTTGTCTGGAATTAAAGGTTCAGTTTCTGAGACCACAGCAGCCTTTGGCTGTCTCCCAGATGCATTCCAGTGGCAGAGGTTAGATGACAGTTGAGAAGGCTATTTCTGACACATATACTGATGAGAGGATGAAAACAAATTGATTGGAACTAAAAGGCCATTATGCAAACGGATATTAACAGTCCGGAGACCAATCTCGTGGCCTAATTTCCCCATTGTATGATAATAACTCAGAATGGGTAATACCAGTTATATCAGTCTGCATCAAACAGATTACTGTCCTATCTCCAGGCCATATATAACTAACATACCTCCAAAGACTTCCACTTATGTGCATTGCCTGATACTTGGATTAGAAAACTGGACATCAATCCTTTAAAACTTGGTGACATTTGAGAGGGAATTTTTCTTCCTAGTTACCATTAGATACATTCAGTATAATCTAAACAACTATTCACAGGGCTGATTCTTGATAAGTCTTTTGTAAAGGAGATATTTTTTATGATCACAGTGCATTGTTAGTGCATGTATAAGCGAGACTGGTTTGTGTTACACAATGATAACAAAAATGGATAATTAGAAGATTTATATTAGAACCTGTATATGAGAGGATTAAAATTTGGCACTGTTGAATTATAAAGCTTGATTTGTTTACTATTTTTGTACATTTATTCTGATTTATCAGGAAGCCAATGTCAGCTGAGTAGTACAAATGTTGGTCATCTGAATCATCCGTTTAATGTTTGCTTATTGTAAGTATGATTGTGTATGTGTGCGTGCACGTGCATCAGTGAGAGAAATTAAGATGCATTTTTGTAGGTGAATAAGGTAATTTATTGCCTTCAACACTATCCTTGGATTTGCGATGAGGCATCCTTGAAAAAGAAAGATACAAAAAAAACTTGCATTTGATATAGAGCCTTATCATTGAGATGTCTCAAAGCGCTTCAAAGAATATACTGTAAAGTGGATTGACTGTGTATTTTGTGGGCAAAATGTGGCAGCCAATTGCGCATAGCAATATCCCACAAACAGTCGTGGATTGAGTGACCCAAATGTTTCTTTTTTTTGAAAGGATTATTACCCCCAGAAAGTGATCTGTCAATTGACTAACAACACCGATCGAGACATGCAGAAGTAGAGGCAGATACCTTCAACAAAATATTAAGGTAACTAGTCTACTGCCCATCATACATCGTTAAACTTTGCCAGTTAGCAGCATATTTTCAACAGAATATATGGTCGGGTTCTAAATATTTTTTAACTAAAGCAACTTTGAGTGAATTCTGATGTGTACACTGTTTCGGCACTGGAAGCTGTGTTTTTTTTAGACGCCACTCTTAAGTATTGCAAAGCTATCGGATTTGACAGTTCTTATACTTTTCTGCAGCACTTGCAATCCAAACACATTTGCTTTGTCCACCACATGTTTCTGCTCGAGGGATTTAGCTGTTGATCCTTTGCTACAAACTGTGCTGACTTTCTTAAACACTGTTGGATACTCCTTTCAGAGTATGGGTCAATAAGAAGAAGGGCAGGAAGTACAAAAGGACACTGGGAGTGGGACAAAGTGTATGGTTTAGAGTAGTGGATTTATGAGTATTTGTATTGACACATACTAACTCATCCTTGATTTGGATCTAGTTATATTACAATCACCAAAGCTAGAGAAAGGTGCATTTTGTAACTCACTAATCAGGCATTGGTATACTCTCAACAACAACAAATTACATTTGTGTAGCGCCTTTCATGTCAGGAAGATGTCCCAAGACCCCCTGGCATTTTGGAAATTTAAAATGTTTTAGTTCTAAAACATCACACAACCTGCCTGTATTTAACAGCACAGCAGAAGCATACTTTCCTCTGTTCTCACTCTGCTGTTTTGACAGGCTCTCTATAGGATCAAGATTGTGGAACTCCTAAATATATTCAGTTCCTTATTTAAGAATGCGGCTAAAATGTGACTTACCACCCCCTACCACCAAAAAAATCGGAATAAAACAGAAAAATCGTAATGCTTCTTGACAGATTTAATGCAATGTTTTTCACATCAAATCCGTTTGTAAACATTGCTTTTTCCATCTATTCTTAAAGCGTGCCTATGGAACTGAACACCCTTCTGACTTGCTTCAGTTTGCATTTTGAAAAAAAATGTTTTGGAAAGCCAAAGTGACTGTATTTAAATACTGGAGGCAGCATTTGAGTGCTGCTTCAAAGGATGAGTTAAGACACTTTCCTTCACTTAACAGCACTCAAATGACAATCCCCATGATTATGATAATTATCAGGCCTAACCATTATGCTGAGCCTGAGGGTGTTATTTCACCTTCGCTTTTAAAGCTGAGTTAAGGCAGTTTTGCAACAGGGATTTTTTTTCCCATAGTAGTCTCAGTCTGCTTATGAGTATCCAAACCAAGCTGACATTTCCATGCATTCCACCACTGGGATCAGGCAGCAAGTTTAATGGTTCTGGTGGCCAGCTCAATTGCTGCAGGAAGCAGATGAACAAAATTGGGAGGAGGTGTTGCCCCATGGTAGCCAAGGACTGGGACATCTTCAGGAGTGGATGGTTAAAACAACACCCACTGTATTTTTCAACCCATATTAGAGGGAGGAGACTTTCATCTCATCAGTTTGTGACTGGATTCAAACCAAAATACAAACAGTGAAAGACTACTCTCCAACCCAAACCACCCAAACTTTATCTCTCTATTTTCTATTACAGAATATTTTCTAAATGGTGAGAAACTAAGAACTGTGGAGGAGCAAAGGGATTTTGGTGTCCACACACACAAATCAGTAAAAACAAGCTCACAGGTACAAAATGTAATCAAAAAGGCTAATGGAATGTTTGTCTTTATCTCAAGGGGCTGGAATATAAAGGAGTTGAAATGATGCTTCAACTGTATAGTGCCTTGGTTAGATCCTATCTGGAGTACTGCGTTCAATTTTGGGCTCCGCACTTCACATCCCCTGCCTTGTCCGCTCCACCATTGGCGGGCAGGCCTTCAGCCTCTCTGCTCTCACCCTTTGCAACTCCATCCTACAGTCCCTCCACCTGACCCCTCTCTTGCCTCCTTTGAGACCTGTCTCAAGACCTTCCTCTTGGACCGTACCTTCAGTCACCCTCCTACCCTCCTGATCCTAACCACCAGCTCGGGTGTGGATCCCTGAATTTCCAGCGTCTGGGGACGTCTTCCTGACATGAAAGGCGCTATACAAATGTAATTTGCTGTTGTTGTTAGACAAAGGTATCAAGGGATATGGAGCAACGGTGGGTAATTGGAGTTGAGGTACAGATCAGCCATGATCTTACAGAATTGAGGAACAGGCTTGAGGGGCTGAATGGCCTACTCCTGTTTCTATGTTTCTCTGGTGTATAGTTCCAATAAATAAAAGTGAACTCATGGGGTAATTACTCTAGTATTTTGGGTTTATGAGCAAGAAAATGATGGTGACAGGGATTGTCTGAGGAACTGACTCACCTATTTATGGTAGGAAAGTATTAGCACCAATAATGTGTTTTGTTTTTGCATTTGTGCATCTATGCACTAAAATAGATTCCTACTCAACAAGCCACTAGCTATAATTGAAAGCATTAGAAGCTCAGGACCAGCACTTGATCAGTATATTGCAGTCTTACATAGTGACACAGATAGGTGGCCCATGCTAATGACTCACAAAAGGAAACATCTAACAAAGGTCATCTTCATTGCTATGTATCAGATAAATAGTAAAATTGGAGAAATGAATACGCTGCTTATTCACTCAAACTACTTTTGATCATTGTGTTTCATTAACTAAATCAATATCTATGGCCTGATAGTTGAAAACAAGTCTTAAATAATAAGCTCATTGTTTTGGGAAATTGTTTGTCCATTTACATGAAGTATAATAAAAATAATAATAATCCTTGCATTTGATATAGCGCCTTATCAAGTCTTCAAGATGTCCCAAAGTGCTTCACAGAATATACTGTAAAGTGAATTGACTGTATATTTTGTGGGCGAAACTCGGCAGCCAATTGCGCACAACAGTGTCCTACAAACCGTTGTGGATTGAAGTGACCAATTTATTATTTTTTTTGGAAGGTATTATGACCCCTGGAGAAGCGATCCGCCAATCGAGTAACAACCGGGTTCCTACTTACTGCAAGGTAAACAGATGCATGTGGAGTAAAAAANCTTGCCCAACGTTTCAAACCCAGGTCTCTCGCTGGCGAGGCAAGTGCTCTAACCACTGAGCTACTGGACTCCACATGTTCATAAATGGAAGGGAATTGATCCGTTGAGCGAGTTTTGTCAGGCGTAACCATTGTGTTGGGTCCTCCCAAACCTCCCTAACCTCTGTGTTGGGTCCTCCCAAATATATGAAAATATTCCTCAGTAGCATCCAAAGTGGGACCCAGAGAAGACACCGAATAAATTGATCTAAACAGGAAATTGTAAGATGGATGTTATGTGCAATTAAACACACAGAAAACAACAAGACATTACTTACTGTGAGCAACTGCAGTGTAATGCACTTCTGTGACTAAAATTCTTGGACTGTGCAAGAGAAACCTAGACAGATTTCTGAAGGAAGAGTGAATCGGCAGTTCCCGACAGGCAGTCAAACTATACAGTGCTGACATGACTAACAGCAATGTAAGAAGGCACAGGGGTTTATTAAGAAAGACTTTTGTATTGACGCTGATTTGGTAATCCACTGGAGTTCGGTTGACTGCCTTTGGGAGTTAGGAATAATTTTATAGAGTATTTGTTTCCAGATTTGCCCATGTTTTTTTTCTTTGGTTTTTCACTTCCCTTGGAGTGCATTGAATGTCTGGCACCAGGAGAGAAATATAGTTAGAAATTTGAGTGGGAGGTGAGATTGCGGACTTTATAGGCATTTGGACATGTTACTGTTCTTTCCATTATGTTATCTATGTAGCATAATATGCATGTTTCAGGTGTTTCATTTGGAAGGTAACTCGGTGTGACCATTTAAATGGTTTTACTGAATTTTGACAGCTTTGATTAACAAGTACTTTTGCACTGTGTTCTAATCTAGCCTCGATTATTATGGATTAGATCTTACTATGTCCAATTTCCTTCATTCTTTGACACAACTCGGTTAGATATGATGATGGAGTTTGATATACGGTTGATAGGTTCTAGAGTTCCACATTCAGTCTTTGCAGTTTGCTTTTCTCAAATCGAAAACTGCAATAATATCTTTATAGAGTCCTTCATGTAGACATTAAACAAAGGAGGAGGGGAAGGTGGGAGGATGACATGGTCAAAGCGGTAAATATTTAGGTGGATTTAATGACAGAGAGGGCAAGACAGAATGTAGAGGGACAAAGATTCAGAGGTTTGGGGCATAGTTACTGAAGACTTGGCTATTGATGGTTGGGCAGAAGGAGTGGGGACACAAAGCAAAATTGAGTTTGCCGAGCAGAGAGGGAGGAGAGAAGAACTTATAAGAACATAAGAAATGCTAGATGAAAAAAAGACCAAGGTCCACCTAGTTCTCCTTCCACCTTCCCGATGGTCGCCTGCACATATGTCCCAAATTACCTATGTACTATTTCCCATGAAGTTATTTCCTAAAAGAAAACTATCTAATCTGTGTTTGAAGGAATCAACATTTCCTGCTTCAACGTCTTCCTAGGGAGCCTGTTCCACAGATTTACTATTGGCAAAGAGAAGGTGACAGCTTGTGTTTCAGGATTACTTGACAAGACTTGATTCTTAGACTTTCAATTATTTAGGGATATAAATCTTTTCGGTCTTCAACATTAGTGTTTTGCATACATTGTTAATTTCCAAAACACTGATTGTCCAGTGCCTTGGAATGTCGTCCCGACGTGAAAGGAGTGATACAAATGTAACTTTGTTGTTGTTGTTGATGGCAGATGGGAAAATAACTATTTATCGGATACACTCAAGCAACACCCATATTTAGGCTGCAACAGGCAAAGATGTCAGTGCCATCAGCCTTGTACATATTACCCTATTCATCATCATTGAAATACTGTCAACTGCTTTTCCAAGTCCAGATCATGTTGCAAAAAAATATTAAAACTGCTTTGTGGAGTAAAGCAATCTGCTAATTATTCTTCAATTTTGTCAATATCAACTCTAAATGTTGCTCTTAATTCACCACCTGCAACTGATCGCTCATTTCCGTTAACTTACCCTTCCTGCGTAATGCATGATAGTGAAGGTTGAGCCTTGATCTTTTGATGGAATGTTTCCATTTCCATCTTTTGCAGACATATACACAGTATTGGTGTGAGCCGTTTCCAAGTGAGACTGCAGCCGTTTGCTGAGGTTTTGTTCTGTCAATCGAAATGTCTGGCTTTCTTCATCCAGCATCGATAGCAACCCAGCAGGTTTCTGAAACAATAAAATGGCATCTTGTATGAATTAGAAACCCAAGCAGCCTCTAGTGGGTAATATCGGCTTTGTTGGTTTAAAAGATGTTAAATTTAAAAGCTATTAAAATTGTCAACATTTATAGCTCCCATAAGCTTAAATGTCTGTAATGATCATTTCCCTTATCAGAAAACAGTCAGACTTTTCAAACAGTTCTAAAATATCTAATTAAATCTGCTAACACATATATATTTAGTGCCTAATCTAAAACAGCTAGGAATGGCTACAAATACTTTGATGCTAATTGTGTTTAAAGAACACTTTATTTTAGGAATAAACTGCAGAAGCTTATTTGCTAATATCCATTTTTTTTAGAAGTTTAAAAACACCCACATATTTGTGAAGCCATTTGACATCTGGATTGCATAGTACTTGTGAAAGAATCCGTTGGCTTTGTTGTTTGTTGACCTATCAAATGCGTAGAGCTATCAAATACTACTAAGTTCCATTCCGCCCTATTGTTTAATAATTAAAAATATTTACTGTTGAACATATGAAAATACATTCTTCCTTTCGTGCACAAAATATAAGATTGGGTATTGGAAAAGACCAAGGCGAGACATTCCCCTGTTTGCATAGCATTCAGAATGTGCCAAATTCTTAAATTCCTCCTTCAGTCCAAAGCTATTTTCTTATTGTGCTAAAAATAATCTACAGATAATCAACTTCAAAATTAAGAAAGTTCTGACATCTAGGCAAAATAGTGTTATGTTTAGACCAAAGTGAAATTCCCTCCAAAATGCTCAAGAAGAGTGGTATGATTGCTCAGAATTATAATAATAACAATAATAATTATACTTGCATTTGATATAGTGCTTTTCACATCTTTTAGATGTCTCAAAGCAGTTCACAGAATATACTGTAAAGTGAATTGACTACATTTGTGGGTGAAACGTGGCAGCCAATTGCGCACATCAGCGACCCACAAATGGTCCTGGATTAAAGTGACCAATTTTATTAATGTTTTTTTATCTTGAGGGATTATTATCAGGCATGTGGAGTAAGGAAACTTGCCCGATATTAAATATTTTATTTTGTGCATTTAATATATGAAAAAAATGTACATTATGGATGATCCTGAGTACTTCCAAAGATAAACTACAATTAATTACTGTGGTTTACAAGGAAGGGAGCTCAGCCATAAACTGTAAAGAACAAGCTTGAGAAGCATATATTGCTATTAGAACCTCTGGATTGTATTATGTTCTTGAACATGCAGATAATCTATGATCTTTGGATGTTTTTTATACTGTTTCAGTTTTAGCATGAAAGGGGTTTCAGGAGATTACATAACCTACCGATAATTTTTGACTCATACTGTGGACAAATGCATCTCTCGAACACAAATCTGTCATCAGTCTCTCTCAATTTTTCTTTCCCATCAACTATTTTCTCTCACTCTCTGCATGAGGTTTACAGGGATGAAGGATTCCAAGATTGTGCACAGCAAGGTCCTACAAACAGTAAAGAAGCGAGTGACCATTCTTTGGGGGGGGGGGGGGATTATCATGGGTCTTTAATATCCACCTGAACAGGCAGACTGAGCCTCGGTTTAAGGTCTAATCCAAAGGATGGACCTCCAACAATACAGCACACTCCCAGCACTCCATTGGAATGTCATCTCAGACCAGATTAGCTTCAAGTCCTAAAGTGGGATTTGAGCCCACAACCTTCTGACTCATAGGCAAAAGTGATACCAACTGAGCCAGTCTGACATACACGGGGTGGGGGTGTCCACGCACAACTCCTTTTTTAAAAAAAATGAGAAGGAAAATGTATGTGTTCAATATAATTGACCTATCTAAAATTTAAAATAAAGCAAATCCCCCAAAATCGAATCCGTACTAACATCTATCCCTGTACAAAATGGAGCTATTCTGTTGTCCTCATTACCGTGTTGACAAGGTCTGGTCAATAAACACATACGTGTAGAGATAAATAGCTGCCAAAAACAAATAACAAATCTGGTCTAACTTGCATTATATACCATTCAGACAGAATAAGTCTTGGAATGCTACACAAGAAGGGTCTCTTGCTGAGCTAAAGAGAAAGGAGGGGGAAATGTGTAGTAGGGCATGATATTAGATGCAGCTGAAGAGGTAGGTATGAAAATATGATAAATGAGATTCCACTGTAAGATGTTTATTGAAAATTAATAAACAATATACAGAGAATGATCCATAAGTAATTAATCTTAAAGATAAGGTTGACAGATGTAAGACAGGCTGGCATGACTTTCGGTTACAATAATCATCTCTATACTGTGAAATCAGTGGGTGGAGATTGTCACAGTAATTATTTGAATTAACCACACAAAGAAGCTTTCCCTGTTATGAATAATATGCCTTTGGCATCAACTAATGAGCATTACACCAGATTTTCTGTACTCCTGAAGCGTAGACATTGAATCCAGTTGAACCATGTATGCCGTGTACAAGATACAAGTTTACAATTTGCTAGTTATTCTGGGGTGGTGGTGGCTTCTGGTAGTGTTGAGGGGGGAATAGACTGAGTCTTTGTTCAAACTACACCAACAACTTGGATTTATATAGTACCTTTCACGTGGGATCGCATCTCAGAACACTGAAACTGCTAATTTTCAGAAGCAGCTATTTTGTTTGGAGTCACTTGGGCACTAATGCCAGCATTGTGGTCCCAGTGCTCATGATCTGTACTGTGGCAGGATCTCTCCCAGTATCCAATGGTAACCAACATGTTGATTCTGCAGATGTCTATTTTCCTTACTCCAGTTCTGCCGATGTTCTACTCAGCTATCAGACTCCTGGTGATTGAAGCTGTTTCCTTTCACCCAACCACTCTAACTCTCCAAACAACAGCCCTTCCCCTAGCAACCAGCGACTGATGATCATATCCAGTGACATTCTAAATGACCAGCTTTCCATCAAAGATGTAGGGGGTAATCATGCTGCAAGGAAGAATTCCAGGCAGCGGGGAGTGAAGCAATGAAATACATGGCAGAGATCCACAGAAACAGCCCTCCTCCACCTTCTTAAAACGCAAACTACAAGTTAAAACTGACCAAGAGATTAAATTACCTCAACTGATTACCTTGGCTCCTGGCTACTGTCTCTTCAACTTCAGTTACCAGCTACTTCACAAATTTCAGTCTTCACAGACACTTAGACATAATTTTTGTGTTGGAAAGGTACAACACCTAAAAGATCATCCTTCAGTTGTTTCAGATGAAGATGATAAAGAAACCACTGCATATTTGCAGTCTATTGATAAGTATATCATTTGTGGCTGCTGGTGGTGTCAGTGTTGTTGTAAGGCTACCATTACATTTATTCCTCTTTTGTTATAGTTATTTTCTGGGGAGTTTATATCTCTGTGTACTTATTTAACATTTACACACTTGGCTACACTTTGTAAGCGATGTAGACAACTGTATTAATGGCATTATCTACTCTTCACTTTTAATTAGACAACATATTATTATATCTGCAGTTTCATATTTAATGCCCTTCTGTATGCAGAAATGAATTTGATAAATAATTTGTATGGTAATTATGCATGTAAGTTCTATCTATCTGCTAATAATTGTCTTTTTTAAATTAATTATGTGTGCTGAAACTGTGCCTTTGAAAATTATTATTCTGGTTGGATCTTTTGTGAAGATGAATTGAACCTAAGACCTGTGTGTCCAATTTTCAAACCATCTTATATTGTTCAGAGCTACTGTGCAGCAGATTGACAAGCTGGCATGTTCTCGTGATGCTATTTCAGTATCATTATTTCAGCAGGGAATCGACATAAATAAAAATTGTAAACTGATATTAACTCTTTCGAACCTGGCTCCAGGAATTTTTGGCCAGGTGTACCTTCCAAAATCTGGTTTATACCCCAGTAAATTTTCATGTCTTGATATAAAATTGTACTTGTAAACTGTGTTGTGGAATATGATTTTCACAAATATATCTTGAATTGTTCTCAAATGGTAAAACCTAATAAGGAGAATATAGAATACACCCTGAATACACAAAATTCTCCCAAGGAGGCTGGTCATATTATTACGATTTCTTTTTGACCTTGCAAAGGAAAAGCTTGATCTCCAACAGCTTATCACCTTCTGACAAAATGCATTGAGTATGGCAAAGCTTATAATTGCTCCTTTATTTGAAAATGCAGGTGTAGGGACAGACTATTTCCTTCCTGGTATTTTTAGTACGAAGAATAATCATGTATACACTCATGCTGTACATTCATCTTAATGACAGCTTCATTCTGGCAGCTGAAACTTTAATAAATTTGTCATTAGCAGGATTTATATGTGGCATTTAATATCATCACTCCGTGCTGATCTGTACACTTATATGCATATATATTACAGACAAAATATGAATTATTGATGAAAATGTAAAAGCAAAAGACTGGGTGGCACAGCATGTTAGTGCATCTTCTTTTTATCTCTGGGAAGCAGGGCTCAATTAAGGCCAGGCTAGCGGCAATCTCCAGACTATACTCTCCTTGCAGCCATTGCACACATTGTGTGGCAGCCTGGCTCAGTAATAGCACCCTTGCCTCTGAGTCAGAAGGTTGTTTATTCAAGCTTGATGTCGGGACTTGAAATCACATAGTGTAAGCTGACACTCCAATGCAGTGATGGCGGTTGGTTGCAATGTCAGAGGTTCCGTCCTTCAGATGAAAGGTTAAACTGAGATCCCATCTGCTTGTTCAGATGGACCTTAAAGATCCCAAGGAGATTATCCTGGTGTCCTGGCCAACAAATCCCTCAAATAAAATTGGTCATGGTTGTTTGTGGGACATTGCTGTGCACAAACTGGTTGCCGTGTTTCGTCCACAAAATACAGTCAATCCACTTTACAATATATCCTGTAAAGTGCTTTGAGATGTATCGATTACATGATAAGGCATTATATCAAATGCAAGGATTAATTCTAAAGATTCAATGTAATATACACTTGAGTTTTTCTGTTGAG